CTCTCTCTCTCTCTCTCTCTTATATATATATATATATATATATATATATATGGAAAATACTACGTAATGCCTATAGGAGAAAATGAACAGTGATTTCTCTTATGCTCATCACTGTCCAAAGTTCATCGCACGTTCACAGTTATCTGGTAGTTTTTAATTTTCATTTTTTTTCTGCAAATCGGAATGATTTGAAATTTGGAGCGTGTGTTCATCAAAAATAGGAGAATTTAATAAAAATATAAAAAAAATAATTTGTAAAATATAAATTGACCAAAATACCCCTGAAAATTTAAGGGGGTATTTTGGTCAGTTTATATTTTGCGAAATATTTTTTTCATATTTTTATTAGGTGCTCTTCACTAAGATGTGCACAATCTGAAAATTTCAGATCATTCCAATTCATAGAAAAAAAAATGAAAAATAAAACACTACTGAACAATCGTGACAGTGCGATGAACTTTGGACGGTGATAAGCATAGACGAAGTCACTGTTCATTTTCGCCTATAGACGTTAGGAAGACTTTTCCATATATATATATATATATTATATTATATTATATTATATTATATATAAAGATATGAAGCATTATTGAACTGGTGAATACCTTGTAAGAACCCAACAGTCGGTCACGAGCCAATACCTGGGATGGAAAAATCATAAAATAAAACCTCAACTGTTATTATGCTTACCAAAAAGGCAAAAGAAACTCAAAAGCTTTAATATACTCAATTGATCAAACTCGGATTCAATAATCTCTTGTACACATTTCAAGAAAATTACCTGCTTAAATATCATAAGCTTGTCAATGGAAATTAAAATCTTCAGGAATTTCTATTTGAAGGAAAGAAAAGTACTTGAGCAGTCTGAATTAATGCCAAGTTGAATGTCTACAATTTATTACTTCTTAGGGATCATTTGCATTTTACTTCATCTATAAAATCTCCAAGAATATTTGATGAATGCAAATTTGTGAGTCTGCATACCTTGTATCATATAAAAAAGGAAAATTACAGCATACAGCTATATGCACAGACTCTGTCCATCCTCTCTCATTTTGAGGTCAAGGTCGAGATCTTGGGTAGGCCAAACGAGGTTTCATTCAATTATATGCTAAAACTAGGCAGATTATTTTCAAATGGAAGATCGTAAGTAACGTGTGGCAAATCTCTCCCCTTTTCATCTCCTGCTTTGGAAAGTGACTTATTAATTTCTGGTTTCAGGAGTGTAGAGGGAAAAGTTCCCAGAAGACCTGCAATATTTGTTCATTCCAATAAATTGACTGGAACTCACATGCACAGATCGACAAGTACCCTTCTAGTCCTAGTGAAAGATTTATATAGATTTATCCAACTATCCCTTCATTAAAAAGTTTGACCCTTTGTAGAATTCAAAGAAATAGCTACTGATGAATTGACAATCAAATCTCTTTTAATAGATGTAATTACATATGTATGGAGTTCTGTGAATGCAAGGCATATTTTTCTAGACTCAGCAAATTGTTCTAAATTTCTTTGCATTAATCTCTGCCCCAATCTCCTCCAAATGGGTCTAGGATTAAAGATGCAGTGCTGACAGTGAAGTGAAGAATTCAGACACCGTTCAAATGAAATACAAATAGCTGAGAGTTCTATCGATCATATAAAGGTGCTCCTGGTTATTATGGAAGTAGCTACATTTCCCCCCATAAAATTTTCTTTCACAATTAATTAATTGAAATCTAGGCCAGCCATTGCCTTACAAGGCATGCCCTCACTCATAACACAAACCATAGGCATCTTCAGTACACCAAAGACGTGTGTAATTAAGCATAAGGTATCAACAGCTTACATGTTGATGAAATATAAGAGCAGGTGCCATTGAATCAGCCGATTTAATGGACTCACCCGATATTCTTCAGAGGGTTGATCCTTAAGAAATAGTTTAATAGTAGTAAAAAATATGAAATAATCTTTTTTGGCTCAGTTAGGGTCATTCTGACAAAATCTAATTTAGAATTATGTGATGGGTCAGTAATCTATCATTCTAAAGTTGGCCATTAAATTGCAACGAATAAATGTTGCCCTTGTGGGTAGAATATAATATCCTGACTTTGTCCGTTTGCTTTGTTGGATTTGTTATTGTCCAGCAAACACTGTTAGTGTACTGAACCTTTGAAAATTTCAATGGTCAAGCTATGTGTAAGTTCTGAAAATCTGCAGTACCATGAAGAATCCTTCTCTTCTTCTTCATAGTCATTTGTTAGGCTATGGTGTTCTGAAATAGGTAAGTTATGGCTTTCTTCATCGCTCTATTAAGGCTACAATTGCTTCTCATCGCATCTCTACCCTTTCTTCTCTTTACCCTCTCCCGTGCTTTCAAAACTATACAATGCGTACCTTTTTCTGCTCCTTTCTTCCCTTACCTCTCCTCCATCCTTTCTGCTCGTTTCTCATTACTCCCTTCCTTCTAGTCCCTTTGCAGTACTACCTTCTTCACTTTTGTTCTCTGCTTCCCTCAGACCTCTTGTCCTCTGTATCCTCTTCCTTTCTTTTCTTCCCCTTCTCTCTATCACCTCCCAACACTCTGACCTCGTCTTCTCCTTCCCTATCCTTCTTCTTTCCTCCTCTCCCTATTACTTTTCTTAGACCTCTTCCCTTCGTCCTCTACTGGTCCAACAGACACCGTCCTATTTGCAATAGGTCTAGAACTTCCACCCTTGTCCCATTTAATATCTGTGAACTCAATTAAACCTACGAATACCCACTGAACTTACTCCTTCACCCTTCAGTGCCTGCATGCGTTGGCTGAAATTGCTCATACTTCTGTCACAAAAAGATGCTGAGTCTCTACCACAGGCAATGTTAAAAAATTTGCCTACGTGGGGCCTAGGCAGATGCCCAAGGCGTCCTTGCTTCTAGGCGGTGAAGGCGCTGCCTAGGCGGTCGCTGGAACAAGGTTGATTACTGGGCAATATCCCTTGAGCCTCCAATTCTAAGAGTAATGCTCATAGTAAAAGAGCTAAAATTCAAGTGAACAAGGTTCAATCTTACACGTGTGGGACAAGGGAACGATGAATAAATGTGTTGTAAAAAATATTATTAAACAAATGAATACTTACACATGTGCTCTCAAGAGTACTGACTTAGATGTGTTGGGCAAGGGAACTATGAATAAACAAATAAATACCTCAAAGTATGCAATTGTTTATAAAAATATTAGGATGGTATTGTAGCCTCTAAAGACAAAGCCCGATGTCAAAATTTGTTTCTACACGTGTAAGTTGTTGGACATAAAAAATATTAATAAACACATATGTTAAAAGTGTGTTGTCAAAATTTCTACACATGTAAATTGTTGGACATGGATGGACATATAAGGCAGTTTATAAAAATACTGATAAACACATAGACATCTGTCTATCTAAGGCACTTGTTAATAAAAATATTAAGAAACACATAGACACTTACAATGGTCCTCTCAAAATTCATACACGTGTAAGTTGTTGGACATAGATTTACAAAAATATTTATAAACACTAGACACTTGTCCATCTAAGGCAACTGTTTATAAAAATAAAAATAAATACATAGACATTTACGAGTGTGCCGTCAAAATTTCTATATGTGTAAGTTGTTGGACATGGATGGACATATAACAAGCCAAACAATAGACGGACATATAACAAACAAATATTTACATGTGTGATGTTGCTAATAAAAATCCTATGACATGTTTTCTTAAGGCAGTTATTTATAAACATATTAATAATATATATATATATATATATATATATTTATTTATTTATTTTTTGTGGAGAAATTTAATTTGTATTGAGTTTAAAGGAGTACAAAAATTCACCCTAAAAGGGTGCACTATACATCAATTCAGGGTAGCCCACTAAGCAAAAAATATGAGCTGGTAACAATGAAGGCCGTATGCATACACAAAACAATTACAAAGATCGGACTACGTCCAAAATACTGCAGAAAAAGAGAAGCGCCTGGGGAGATCCTTCATAAGTTTAGAGATGCTCCTATATTCTTGCTAGATGGTCGGGTTCAAAGTTAGCTTCCCTCCATGGGTGTTTTCGAGAGACATTTAGAAAAATTACACAATGTGCTTTCAAAGACACTATGACTTAACGTGTAGGCGGCACCCAGGCGGCCATGGGGGTTCAGGCCGCCCAACACCTAGGCGCCCGCCCAGAACCTGGGCAGCCCAGTTGAAAAAAAAAAAAAAAACTGATGAGTGATGATCGATAATGATTAATTCATAAGAATTTTGATAATTCATAAGACCATAATCCATAAGAATTTTGATAATCCATAAGACCATAATCCCAATTAAAAAAAAGATCAAAGTCGAGAAGAGAATTTTGATAATCCATAAGACCATAATCCATATTTCAATACAATGCTAAAACAATAAAACCATGCAAGCATAAAATGATAGTCTGATATACTATAGACTGTACCCACAAAAGTTAGATAGTAGAACTAGAAACTAGAAAGTAGAACTAGAAACTAAAAATAAGAAAAATAAATTATACAGAAATTCAAAAAATATGCAGTCTAGGACACAATAGTCAACACTCAACACCAAGAGTCTTTAAACACAATAGTCAACACTCAACACCAAGAGTCTTTACTCTTCAGTCATCAACATCATCAGAAGGAATAGGGTAAGCTTCATCATATGCATCAGAATCGAGGCCATCATCATCAAAGTCATCTCCCTCTTCAATATAACGCTCATCCTCCTTTGTTTTTTCTGAATCTGCTTCTTTCTCCTCTTCTTCTACCTCCCTCTTACTAGTATGTACAGATGAGGCCCTAAGAGTCTTGGCTGCTCTACACTTTTCTATCTTTTTGTGCTTCCCTGAACTCAGATATTGTATAATTTCCTCCTTGGTAGTCTCAAGAACATTTTTACAAGGGGCAACATCCCCCTTAATACTGGCAAGGTGTGTTTTAATCCGGTAAATGCCCCCATTAGTATCCTTTCCACAATAATTACATTTAATACGATTTTTGTCATTCGGATTCGGGTTATAACCATACTTCCAACCCGGATCACCCCTTCTAGAAGAACCTAGAGAAGATATTTACATAGAACGAGGCTTGTTTTCATTATTTTCTGGTTTTTTTAAATTCAGAAGTCGTCTAATCTCATCTTGAATAGCTTCAGGAACCTTTTTACAAGAAGCAACATTCTCTTTAATGCCGACAAGATGTTTCTTGAATCGGTTAATACCCCCATTAGTATCTTTTTCACAAAAATTACACCTTATACAATTTTTATCGTTTGGTTTTGGGTTATAATCATACTTCCAATTTGGATCACTTCTTCTAAAAGTAACAGAAATAGACCTATTCAAGTGACAAGGATTTTGTTCCTGTTTTTGTTTTACAAAACTCACATATTGCTTAATCTCCCCTCTGATAGCTTTAGAAACATTTTTACAAAGGGCAAGGTCTCCCTTAATACCGCCAAGATGTTTCTTAAACCGGTTTATGCCCCCTTTTGTATCTTTTTTACAAAAATTGCATCAAATGCAGTTTTTGTCATTTGGATTCGGGTTATATCCATATTTCCAATCCAGATCTCCACTTCAACTAGATCCTAAAAAAGACATCTCAAAATAAAACAAGTAATCTAAAACATAAATTTTGCTCTTACTTTGATTGCTCGAGCTCCAACTTGTGCCTCTGAGATGTTTTCTGGTGCTAAAATAATAAAAAACACCCTCTAATAGGATTATAAAACTCTAAAACTAAATCAAATCTACCTGGGTGATGTTTGGATCAGTTTTCTGTAATTTTGAGAAACACTTCGATCCAATGAAAGTCACAAAATTTAGTTTACTTGAGGTTTATTTCTCTCTAAAATGGGTTCTTGTGGGTTTAGATTTGAAATGAATCTAAAAACCATCCTTCAAACCCTTTATGTTTAAAAAAAATTAATACAAAAAAAAAAAAATTCTGCCCCTAGGCAAGGGCGTTGGGCGCCCGCCTAGGTGGGTTCCATACTGCATAGGCGGGCCGCCCAGGGACGGCTACCCAATTTGGCCGCCTAGACCTGGGCGATGCGCCCAGGCCTTCTAAACCGCCTAGGCACTAGGCGGTCCGCTTTTTTGAACATTGTTTCTACCTAACCGCCTAGGCAGCCAAGCCCCCAAACCACCTAGGTGGGTGCGTCTGCACGCTTGAACCTTGACCGTAGGTATGTTAGGCTCATTAAATCGCCTAATAACTTAACCCACTCCTCTATCACGTCTATCCACTCTCACAAACCTATTCAATGCTTTAACAATTTACGTACCAAGACCATGACTCCCAACTAGGGCTGGCAACGGGGCCAGTCCATCCCTGGCCCTAGCCTGTTCGTACTCTTCATTGGGCCAGCCCGGGCTCGGCCTTGGTCATATTAGGGCGGGTCCAGCCCAAATAAAATGAGAAAAATAAAAGGAAACAAGGGGGCCAGGGGGGGCGAATCGGGCCAGCCTTGGCCCAAGCCCAGCCGGGCCCTTGTGCCACATTTTGTGGTCCAGGCTCTTGTTCTTTAGGTCGAGCTGATCAGACCTGGCTGGGCCACCCAGCCTATTGCTACCCCTACTCCCAACATTTACCAAACCCTACTTATCCAGAACTTAATCTCCTTACCTAAACTATCTCAATAACCACGGACATCATGTTGCCCCTCACAAGTCAGAACCCTAGCCAGAAATCCAACCAAGATCACCCTCACATTACTTGAATTCAATATTAACCTTGTCAAGACCAAGTTTAGGGGAAAGAATAGATCCAAGTCATTTATTGCTGAGTATGCTAAAAATCAAACCTTTTTTGGGGCTTCAAACAAACACTTCTAGTCAAACTCATCCAAATTATTAATCACATCCCACGCAAACCTCCCTACTCTACTATTTGGATCCCACCAAGCCACAGAACCATCAAACTCAACTTCAATTGATGCATACTGGGTAACCCTCGCCCTTGTCGCTTTGGGAATAGATTGGTAATGTTCTATCCTCTTTCTAGGGATACGTCGGAATAGAAGATTCCACCTGGGCCAAGGCTGATGATCTTCTAGGCATGAAGAGGTTCCATCCATATTGCAAAGACACTCTTTTAGTGGAGGGGGACTTTAAGAATGTCATAGGTTATGCTATGAGGAGAAATTAGCACTCATGGAGACTGCAGTATATTGATCAAGTATTTCATCTATTCAGACATCTTGGAGTCGCCTTTTGTCAGACCTGTCAAGAGGCTAATGCGGCGGCTGATGACTTGGCTAAAGAAGGGGCAATTGAAGGTGTTCCACAAGCAATGCTTGAAGGAGTCCCTTCACTACATCGCCCAACATAGTCCTTATGGTTTTTCTGGTTACTTTATATTGCTTTCCTGATGTTTCTTGCCTTTCCATCTCAACCCTTTCTCCTCTTCTCACTTTCTCTCCTAGTCACTCTCTGCCTATCTCACCCTTTCTTCTTCTTCTTTTTTTCTTCCCCTTCTCTTTCTCTCCCTTTCTCATTCAACCTCTCTCCTCTTTCTATGCTTTCCCTCCCCAAATCTCTCTATCCCTTTCTTGCTCTTCCTTTCTTCAACTTTCTTCTCATCTCCACCCCGCAATCCACCCCCCCCCCCCCTCCCCCCAATCTCTCTTTCTTTTCTACCTCCGTCAAGTTCCATGACTCCCATTCCCTTTGATAGTGTTGAGCTCCATCCTCTACTATTTTTTAACCTCTTTTGTTGTGCTTACTTTTTGCCATTGACAGTGGGCATGCCACTCTCTCCCTCTTTCTTTACCTTGATTTCCCTCTCGCTCCCCTCAATCTCTTCTCCAAATTCTCTTCTTTCTTAAATCTTCTCATCTCTCTCAATGAAATGTAAATCTATGTAAATCCGCAAGTGTCAAGCTCCCATCTTGTGGGTAGCCCTCACTATTTATATTTTCTTTTTTTTTTTCATATTTTTTTATCATTCTTTGGATCATAATTTTTTGAGTTGCGAAGCACCTGACTTGTGGGCTGCCTTCCTCTCTACTCATGGGCAAATAGGTAAATTTATTTATATATAATATATAGTCAACATTTCAAGAAAAAGAAAGAATATCATATGTGTTGTGTGTGTGTCTTGGGTTCGCTCGACGGGCCTCGACGTGGGTCCTTGTCTTTGCTTTAGACTCTTTCCCTTGGCATAGTCAAGACCTCCCTTAGATACTTGGTGGGTATGGGTATGGGTGTGGGTGTGGGTGTGGGTGTGTGTGTGGGTATTGGGGGGGTTAACACCCTATGAAATCCTATAGGTTACATATAGAAAAGGGTGTGAACTGTCCAAATTACTTTAGTTACCCATTTTTTTTCCTATAAAATGGGTAAGGGTATTTTTGTCATTTGAAAAGAGTAATGTCGATATATGCACTAAAAGACAAAGGGTATATTTGTTATCTCGAGAATGACATATTTGAAATATTCACTAGAAGACAAACTCATTTATATTAATAAAGTACGTAGAACTTCACTGCATAATTACCCTTGTCTTTTAATGAACATATCAACAAATACCCTTTTTAATGATAAAAATACCTTTACTTATTTTATGAACGTTGAATAATGATAGGGGCAACTTTAGAAATTTTAACAATTCATACCACTTTCTAAATGTAATCTATAGGATTTTATAGGGCGTTAAAAATAGATTATATATATATATATATATATATATGATTTCATGCAATGTTTCTATAATAATATAATGAAACAATCTTCAAACATCATGTTAGGGTCTATTTGTTTGGTTCCAACTTTTAAGTAGACACTTTTTCCATTCTAATAAATAATCACAAAAAAAGCAAAATATGAAAAAACATACCTAGAAGATGCTTTTTTAGCTCAATTAATATAGGTCGTACATCGTAGTGAGATGCTTAGATCTAGGCTTTAGGAGAACTTTTTTTACATTTCCAAATTTTTTAGGTAGCTTTTATTATTATTAGATTAACAATGTTCAAAAAGAAAAAAATGATTTTGAGTTTATAAAGGCCTAGATCTTGAGATTTACCAAATGGACAGTCTGGATCCAATATTAGAGGGGACTCATTTTGACCATATCAAGAATGGAAATTGAATCTTATCTTTTTTATAAATTAATTATTGAGACGATGAGAGTGTGCATGCTAAATTTGGGGCCATATAAATGCCACAAAAATAGTTTTTTAGAAGTGTGGTTTGATTATATTATAATGACATGGTGACATGATATCATTCCCTTATATATATATATATATATATATATATATATGAGAGTATTACTATTTA